TCTGCAGGGAAGGTCAGAAAGCCATGGAACAAATTGAGGAATATACAAGGTCTAAAGATAAGAATTAGTTTGACGTCAGTCAAGGCTTATGCAAAATTACTAATTTATCACAGTTTATTTGTCACAGTTCCTCCAGCTTATAACAAGACAGGCAAGTGAATTATACCAGCTAAAAGTTCACAAAGGACTACTTGCTTACATTTTTAAAGCTTCCAAGCAGCTGTGGTTTTGTTCTACTTGCTGCCTATTCAAGTACTCTTTAAAAAAACTGGGTCAGAGTAATGCCTGGCTACTATGAGAAGGAAGTCACCACCCACTGGTCTTCTGCTGAATTTCCAAGGGGAAAAAAAAAAATCTGTGGCTAGGTTGTTTTCCAGTAGTCGAAGTTATGTATGAAGCAGCACAGTGAAGGAGGTTATGCCTTTTGTCTTCCAGATTCACTCCTGCAGCAGATGTTTGTAGTTCGGTTTTTAGGATCTATGGCTGTTCAGTCAGATGATACAAGTGAGGTGATTTATGAAGCTATGAGACAAGTGTTAGCTGCTCGAGCCATTCATAACATATTCCGTATGACTGAATCCCATCTTATGGTCACCAGCAAGAACTTGAGGTACTATAAAACCTTCATCACTTTTATCGTTTCTCAGCTTTATTTTCTCTTTGTACAACTTACGATTAGCAGAATATTTTTGGTTTTGTTTTTCCAAGAAATACACCCTTGGAGTGTCAAGATCCTGAGATTTACTTTACTTAGTAAAACATCTCTCTCTTTTTATTCTGCAGTGTCTAGAAATCATCCTCTTGACAAAGTTGTATGAACATCCTTCCAAAATACAGAGGATGCAATAGGGCGATAAGGCACTCAAAGATACAGAAAAATGCATTGACAGACTGAGGTCCAAAAAGATTCTCTTACTTCACATACAGTAACGTGTTTCAATGCAAGAGAGCCATCACTTTTTCCTGTTGTCAGTATCGTCACTGTAGAGTATGTTCGTACGAGACATTTGCTTTAGCTGTAGTGAGTTTAAGCACCTATGCATGTAACGCTAGTTCATGCATTCAGGATGCTTAACCAGTTAGCGAGTCCAGAGGGATGTTGTGACCCACAGGTCAGGCAGCTGGGAATCAGAGTCTGCAGTTGAACTTTGCCATTGACTAATCACAGATAAAGTGCTTGACTCCGTATGCATGTCTCCTCATCTGTAAAACAGTGATAGTGATTGCCTTTGTATTGCAAAGCACCTTGAAGTCACCCTTAAGAGTTGCTCTTCTAAAACCTTTTTTTTTTTTTTAAACAAACAAAATTGCAGGTTAATAGATCCTCAAACCCAAGTTACGCGAACAAGTGTAAGTAACTTTCCTTTGTTTTGATGCTGGTTTTCTGCTACAGCAGTGAACGCTCAGTCACATGAACCTGAGCTCTCAACCAAGCTAAGTATAGATAGTAAAAAAACTGTTGATTATATTTTTCCAGTTTGAGCTTGCAAGCGTGACGCAGTTCGCTGCTCATCAGGATAACAAGAGACTGATTGGTTTTGTGGTCCATCTTAGTGAGACTGTGGGAGAAGAATCCATGAGCGCATATATTTTTGAGAGCAACACAGAAGGGGAAAAGGTTTGCATAACATTTAATAATGTACTTTATTTAGAAAAACAGGTCTTAGGCTTCTTGGCTTACACATCAGGGAAACTGTTACAGAAGGAAGAGCAGCTGGATTTCTAGCTAGGATAACATGCCTTAACATGCAAGCCTTTGATGCCTTTAGTCTAAAAAACTAATTTACAGATAATGCAGCAGCACATGTAACAAGACAGAAACAACGTGATTGCCAATACAAACAGCAAGAGATACAGGAAAGTGCGTGTCTAGCATCAACACTAACAAAAATGAATTTGTCAGCTATGTTGAGACAAGTACATCTATAAAGCTCTCATAGAAGAGATAGCCATATTGTGCTAACACCACTGGATAGAGCTGTGTGCTTGCTGCATGCGATAATGATATGAGAATAGGATAACTAAAGGAGGAACGTGCTGGGGAATTTTTCTGTTTTAAAACAGAAAAGAAGTACTTAGTTTTAAAAAAAAAAAAAAAGTACTTAGTTCCAAACTTCAGGGTGTTCTGCAACGCACTAAAGTTTGGTGAAGAAAGTTTCACACGCAGCAACAAAATGAAATGAATTGAACAGAAAGATGAACTGACTGGCCTTAAGTGAGCTTTGAAACAGCACCAAGGACAGTTTTATTTTTGTGTAGTTGTTCTAGTGAGTTGATGTCCTCTGTTTTTAGACCTTCATTTACGACTGAGTTTTCATTGATGCTTCTATGTTTTAGTCAAGATTAAGCATTGAACCCAAAAAAACAAGACTTACATACGTTTCTTCCTTAGATTTGCTATGCCATCAGCTTGGGAAAAGAAATCATTGAGGCACAGAAGGTAAAAGTGTTTTAATTTCTTTCCTTGCATCTGTGTTTTGAGGCATACTCTTCTGATCATGGCTGTGCTGTCCAGCTACCTCTGCTGGACATTGTGGCGGGGACACACCTGCTGCTTCTAATGTTTTGCAGATACGATTTAACAGAGCCACTGGGTATATAAAAATAAACTTAATTTGACTTTGCCATAGCTTGATTTGAGATAAAACTTACCTCCCTAAATCAAACTCAGAACTATACAAATCTATTTTCATATGTGGATGGAAATTGTGAGCAAGGTTAAAGTAAACCCTTTGGATGAAGTGCAAACTGCACCTATTACAGTTTCATTTTTAGAAACTCATATTCCTTCCTCCCTTCGGGAGGAAAACTCACAACGTTTTTTCATTTAAAATGAATGGCAAAGTTAGCCCATTATGTAAATTTACCCATGTAAAGATTTGACACTAATACATAACACTTCCTGTATATTCTTACTGCTGGCGTTTCAGAACAAGTTGGGAGAAAGACCTCTTGGTCGCAGATAATTAGTACAAGTATAGCAAATGAGAATTTTGTTGGACAGTTAGTTATTTAAGATTTTTTTCCTCGGTTTTCAGTGAACACAGCAATTCTAGGCAAGAGCAGCAGAATAAAAGCTCAAAAGAAATGACCCATCTTTACATTCCTGAAGGGTTCTACTGAACTGAAATCAATTACCTGTGTTTCAAAACTTGAGATCAGAATTACCTGCATTGAAATCTTTAGGTTAAACGCTGTAATAGAAAAACAAGTTACAGAACCTTAACAAGTACTGGAAAAATGATGTTCTTCTCTAAATGATTGCTGCAGCCACCTGAACTTTTTTTGTTTCCTTTTAGGACCCAGAAGCGTTAGCTCAGTTAATGAAGTCTGTGCCATTAACAAATGATGGAAAGTTCATGCTTTTGAATGATCAGTCAGAAGAGGATGGAACCATCCATGAAGAAGGAGAGGAGTCAGAAGCATAATAAAAAAAAAAAAAAAAGAGAGAGAGAGAGAAACTTGTCATTTCCTACAGCCTGTGTGGAAGCAGGAAAAGCAGGGAGTCTTTCTGCAAGAATCTCTGGTTTTTAATCATCTGTACACGCATTAGGGCCCACTAGAGAGAATGCAGCATCTTCGCAGTGGAGTTTCGCTGGATTTACAATGAAGCAAAAGCAGAACTTAGCCTTGAAGGCTTTTTGCGTATGTGAATGTGTACTGTATAGATGTGTCTGGGAAGCTGACAATCTTAGGGAATGTTTCAGCATTAGCCCCTTGCTGCTGGTAGTTAAGGAGCACAGCCGTCAGCCACAAAGGGTTAATGTCATTTCTTCAGATTTAACTGGTAAGCAGCCTACACGTCCACTGCAATCAGTGTAAGTTGTGAGCCGTCAGCTCCTTTAAAAAGAATAATAATCAATCAGGCCTCAAATTTCCCATAGTCATCAGTTTTCATAGCTTGCATGATTATATGCATCTGAATGAAGGTTAAAAAATGCACTATTTACTTTATTTTCGGATGAAGTTATTTTTAGTGTAAGTGTAACAAGATTTATCTTTTGTGCTAGCTTATTTACAAACCAATTTGTTAAACACTAAATTTTTCCTATTAATATAATCTATTTTTATATTGCATCTGGAATAAGCTTACAGAAATCTAAAGTGCCTACTCTTACCTTCATGGGGACCACACTCACGTGCTGTAATTAAATAATGGACATAATGTACCTCCTCGATTTATTACTCTCAATACCACTGATATGCAGACATCAAAAGTAGTCAACAAATGCGGCATGTTAGTTGTGTGCAGTTTTTATATGGTTAGGTTTCTTAAAACCTAACCATATATTCTATGGTTAGTCTTAAAAAGTTAAGTTGCCAGACAGATAACAGTTGTAGGACAAATAAGTACTTTTATAGAGTTGTTTGTTTTTTTGTGTGTTTAACATTATGGTGACATAATATCTGAGAGTCTACCAGCACTCTTCAGTTGTAAGAAGCTGAGCAATAAAATGCTAGATTTTAAGTAAGTCTATGATGCATTGACTAGTCTCCCAGTACATTCCTGAAATGAGGCACTATGTATATTGGCTAATAAGTTTAGATCTTTTTTCTAGTTTAACCTGACAACATGATAAACTGTCAGTGAAAAAAAAAAGAAAAAACAAAGGGGGGGGGGGGGGGGGGGAAGATGGGGGAGACTACCTGTGTAAGCTTTGTATTAATCAAGAAAAAGTAACTGGACCAAGTAGCTGAAATTCCTCAACTGATTTTAATTCTTCTCAAGCATTTACTAGGAAAGTAGATTTTCTGTAAGCAGGATCTGTGCTACAGAGATGAAATCTTTCTGAAAAATCTCAGTTTGCAAGTGTTCAACATGGAATAAGTTCATTTAACTAGTTGTTTAATGTCTGTAAGAACTGCGGAAGAGAACTGTTAGTAACTGGCACAAACACTTCTTTATAAATAAAAATTGAAGCTGTCCTATTAAAAAATTAAAACCTGCTGA